TTAGGAAGGAAGGAAGGAAGGAAGGAAGGAAGGAAGGAAGGAAGGAAGGAAGGAAGGAAGGAAGGAAGGAAGGAAGAACATTGAAAGAGGAAGAAGGAAGAGAGACAAGGGAGAGAGGACACGGAAGGAAGGAAGGAAGGAAGGAAGGAAGGAAGGAAGGAAGGAAGGAAGGAAGGAAGGAAGGAAGGAAGGAAGGAAGGAAGGAAGGAAGGAAGGGAGGGCACTGAAAGAGGAAGCAGGAAGAGAGATGAGGAAGGGAGGGAGAAGGAAGGAAGGAAGACACCAGGGGAAAAGACAGAAACAAAAACGAAGGACACAGAATGGGAATGAGCAAACCCATTAATTAATCAATTAATGGACTGCATTAACGGGAGGGGGAAGGAGAGGACTTACACCGAGAGAAGAAATTCATAAAAGAAGAAGCTGCAGAGTGAAGGATGAGAAGAGACCCCCATTCTTAGCCTCCCTTATCCAGCCTTGCTCCCCACCCAATCCACTCCTTCCTACCTATTCTCCCCCACTCCCTCAAGGTTGAAGGAAAAAAAGAAAAGAAAAATAAATGTCACCCCCCCCTCCCCGTCCCTGTTTCAAGCCCTCTGTCCTCCCCCCACCAAGCCCCCTTCTCCCCGAGGCTCCTTCACAGCCCTCTTACCTGGTGTCTGGCACAAAGCTGAAGGCACCCCCAGAAACGGGGGTCTCAAGTGAGGCCCTAAAGCGATGTGGGGAGCATTCTGGGGCGACAGGAGAGGTGGAGGGTGGGACATCTCCCTGTAGAGGGGAAACGTAAAAGGGGAATGTGGTGACCCAAAGAGGCGTGGCACAAAAGCATCCAAGTCACAAAAGTAGGTAAAGTCCCTTTAATTCCTCCAACTTGGCCTCCAATGTCCAGTTATCATCATCAGCTGGATGAAAAAACTCTCCCACGAACAGTTTTTAAAGGGAAGAAATTCTGTCCGAACCCAAAGCACATATAAAGTATAAATAAAAACCACTTGCTGCAGCAATTAACGAGACAGGGCAGGATAAGGGATTGCAGACTTCCAAAAGATAATGAAACACACACAGTTGGGAGGACGCCAGAACCCAGGTAAGACATGACAAACAAAGATAATGCACGCTTTGCTTCCAGCAACTTTGCTGTGTGTGGTTTGCCTTTTTAAACAGTTTTCCCAACTGCAGCTAATGAAGGGGATCAGGGCCCTTTCCTCCCCCCGTAAGCCATGCAATTCACGTTGCTCCCGTCTCCGTTCCTGGGCCTGGGTCTTCCTCTGAATGCCTAGCTGGACTGTGCCCTTCCCCAGTTTCCTCCGCAGCCACCGGAGCCACACTCCCACTCCCTGTCAGCTGTTCCACCTCTCCCTTGGAATCAGAGTCCAACAGGGGCATGACAGGGAAAAGGAAGGAAATGGAAGGTATAGAAACATCGATATTCAGCCTTGTGTCTTCTTACTTTTTCCTTGGGTTGAGCTTTCTAACCATTGGGAGGGAGGGAGGGAGGGAGGGAGGGAGGGAAGGAAGGAAGGAAGGAAGGAAGGAAGGAAGGAAATAGTAATAGTACTTAAGACTTATATACCGCTTCACAGTGCTTCACAGCCCTCTCTAAACGGTTTACAGAGTCAGCCTCTTTGCCCCGAACAATTTTGGGTCTTCGATGGATGCCATAAGCTAGCAGGGGTTTCCGAAGAACAATGGGGGGGGGGGATCCAAGTTGGCACAAGCCCACACCCCCCCCCCCCCCAAACATTTGTCCGCTCGCAACCCTTCTGAGAATTGCAAAACGGATGCTCCCCACGGTTGAAAAGAAACCTTTCCAGCCGAGAAATCTGCCAAGATGGATTTAAAAAAAACAACCCCCCCCCTCCTCTTTGGTTCTCGACCCATCTGTCTTTCCCCCTCCAGCCCTTCCCTTCTGTCTGCCTCTGCGGGGAGGGGAGGGGGCTCCCCTCTTTTCCCACCCTCCCTTCTTTCCTTCCTCCTAAACTAATTGCAGGGCTCCCGGTGCGTCTGGAGGACAGCCGCAGGCCTGGCAGGGCCGGGGCGCAGGCAAAGCCGAGGGAGGTGGGGGGTGGGAATCGATCGGCTGGCTGTTGAAATGTTAATGCTAATCGCGTCACGGCTCCGCCAGAGCCTCTCGCGCTTGGCTGGCAGCGCCAATTAATCTCAGGTAACTGCAGCCGTGTGTGACCTTCGGGGGCGCTTAAATGCCGGGCGCCGCAGCCACGGCCGAGCGATGCTGATGTAATTACAGCATGAAAGGGGGGGTGGGGTTAATCACCGGACTTAATCCCTCCGGCTTTGCAATTAGCTGGGGCCTCTCCTTGGTGGTGGTGGTGTGTGTGTGTGTGTGTGTGTGTGTGTGTGTCTGCCCACAACCCACACTCTGGACAGACAGCTGAGCCGATGAATAACGGACAATTAAAGCTGCCAAAGGAGGGGAGGGGGGGTCCAGGGGGGGGAGGGCAGAGGGAGAAGCTGGTCCTGAACTTAATTAGCTGCAATCATCACGGGGAGATGAAAGCAAAGGGGGACTTGCCACCTGCTGGATAAGGACCAATTTGGGAAATCAAGTGGCCGTTTAACCGATCACCCCCCCACCCCCGTTAAGCAGGCCCAGTGGCCCTTGGCTGACCTCTTGAGCCAGCCAGGAAGGGGTGGGGGTGGAAGGGACCACAGAGGGGCATCGAAGGGGAGAAGGCTTGGTTAGCCCCCCCCCCCCAACCACCCCTCTTTCGTGGCTCCGTCCCAATTTCCACCCCTCTTGCCATCGCCGTCTTCCAATCCTTCCGCAGTGATGGCCGTATATCTAAGGTTCGCCTCCTTTTCTGCCTCCTGACCGGCTCAGGGCAGGCTCGGACTTCTGTCCTTCTGCGAGTCGGTAAGAGGAGGACCCAGATGGTTGTGGGGGGCAAGAGGCTGACATTAAATTTTGTAAACTGCTTAGAGAGGGCTGTCAAGCACCACAAAGTGGTATACAAGTCTAAGGGCTACTGAGTTAGGTAGTTAGTTAG